AATTTGCTTCGATATTCCAATCTTCATTTCGCTCTTTTATCCAAATGGGCAACCAAAGCCGGCACACGAAAGTGCATGGTTAATGGTTGTAAAAACTGAAACTGAAACGGCTGATTATTTCACCAGAGAAATCGGATGGATTAAAATGAGCACCGCCGTCTGTTTTATCTAATTTTCGTTAACCATGCCAGATCGACAGAGCTAATTACCGATTTCTACTTGCAGGGTATCTAACCGAAAATAGGTTGACATCCATGAGGTCTTTCAGTACTTTATATTGCATTCTTCGCCATCCACTAAACAGTTTGGGACCAGTTTATTCTGCGTTTTCTTCTAATCTTGTCTTTCTCCCCCCCTCCAGGTTGTCGTTTGTCTGATTCTGGTGGTCATTTCCACCCTTACCTTGTATATGATCTTTTTGCTGCTGTTGGAACCGTTGTTGTCTGCCCGACGAGCTGGTCGCGGCCATATACTTGCTTCCGGATCCACTGACAGTGGTATGAGCTCTGAGTTCGGTTCCAGTGGTCGTGGCCCTGTCGCCGGTATTGTCAGTTCCAGTTTAGGACGTTTCACTCGAGCCCGTATTCCAGATTTGAATTTGAAACGTTCTTGGACTCACTCCAACGCACCCGGAATTGGTCTCCCGAAGGCAACTGGAATGGCGGTGATTTGGGGCCGATCACGGCTTAATGCTGAGCAGCTTCTGGATACCGGGAAAACCTCCGGTTGGTTCTTCGCCTATCTTGCTATCTTTTTGTATACGTTTTTATTGAGTAATTGTTCATTTAAGTTTCAGTTTACATAATTGTTACGCTTACACGGTTCTGCGACGGTTTTGGTTTTTTTATTGCACATCTAAGTGTGATGAGCAGCAGACGAGGCGAACCCCATAGTCACGAGGACCTACTGCCCAGTGTTTTTGGTTGCCACCCATCGGCTACCCACAGGATCGGTCAACGGATGAGTAAATGGAATGGTTTGAACCTAAGATCACTACTACATGTACCGAAAGCCAGTAAACTGAATCTGCTTTGAACGGGACTAGGTACACGACATCCACTGTTTGCGATGCTCAGACATATCGCCCATTGTATCTAATCATTGATTAGCATATCCACGATGTCCCCGACCGGGAAATTGAGTGTGACAAATATGATCAAGAAAATTGTTCAAAGTTATCATACCTTCACGCGGTTTCTTAGTCTGACCACGCCTTTGTTAACCTGCCACCCGCCTTAACAAGCACCGCATACCAAGAAAGTCTTTCTGGTAGCATAGATAATTCCCCTGCCACGGCAATCTATGGAGATGCAGAAGTTGTTGAAGTGCGTGATCACGATTGTCTATAATTCTGCGTCTGATATCGGCGTTTCCTGTCTAGTCCCAAGAATCAGTGCAGGGTGGACTGTGGTTTTAGATGTTTCTTCTGTTATCCCATCGCTGACATATCTGTGCAACATTCAGGAGAACCGGCCAAATAATTGCGTTCGAGGCTTGATATTTTCGGGACAACGGAATCTCGCGATAGTGTCATAGACGCTGGATTAACCTGATCGTGTAACAGAAAAACACATGCCAAGTACAGTGTGTGATTGCAACTCACGGTCGAACTCGCTGATTGCTTCACTTGCGCCTAACTTCCATGGATCCATAATCTTGTCTAGGCTTGAAAAATTGCAATTGTTACCAACAGCCTCAGCCTTCCACATCTGAAAATTTTTCACTCAGCGCTATTCATCAAGCTCTTTCTGATATGGCGCTTTTCGGAATAACGCACTGTGGTTGAAGAATTTGGCTAGTACGCCAGGGTGTCTTGAATAGGTCTACGCCACTGGTGGCCAGTAATGATTCGAT